AACCGGCATGTACTGTTTGTTGTAGCCTTTATTTGGGAATTAAATTAGGTAAAGTTTACTTTTCTATAGAGACATGAAGCAAAACATGGGAGTTTTCTCATTGCCACAGAAAAAAATCCTGCTGCTTGTAATGGATCTTCTGATAACTGCAGTTTGACAGATCTATTACTGATGGCAGTATCTGAGGAGGGGAGAGGAAGGACACTTCTTCAGTGGTAGCAGTACCAAGTGCAACGGTTTTGTGTTCTATTAGGTAATGATTTAATCTCTGACAGAGAAAAGCATCCTGTTAGTTTGATTTGTTTTGATTGGCAGTAAATTCCAATCTTGTAAAAATTTAGATGAATGGATTCTTTTATCTATACTTTACTTGTGGAGAAAAAGAGTATTGAGGATTTCTTCTAGAGATATGCTGACTTGCCCAAAAGTAAACGGAGTAATTTGCAGACAGGGACAACTAAGGATTTCACTCTTTACATCTCAGTGCATTTGCTTCAACTTAAGTGTTTCCTTTAAAATATTACATTGGCTTCTGTTACATTGACAGTGGCGAATTCCTAAGGCAATAGAATATATAATGTTTTAAGTCACCTTCTGAAACCAGGGCACAGTGAGCATAACCGTAAATGTTGGGTTTTACATAGTTATTTTTGTTGGCAGATTTCTCACTTTCCTTAAAAAACTAGCTCATGCAATATACGGTCAGATCCCAGCCCTACGTCTTCCTGTAGGCATTCCATGGGCTCACTCCTGACATGGCTAGAAAGAGTCTTGCTGGAGGTGTTGCCTATTTAAGGGATGTAGACATTGATTTTAATCAAGACTTCTTAAATGTTCTAAAAACTCATTTCCTAGTTATAGTTTTAAATATCATGTTGAATGTTGCTAGAGATTAAAATTATATCAGGGTAGAAATCCAGGATAAAACTACTGCATGTAAATGATTCTCAAAATGCAGGGTAAGTGGAAATTAGGGCATCCTCGATGTAATGGCTGGATGCATTTATCTGTCAAAATAAGTACTAGCTGTATTAGTAACTGTATTAACTACTGGATGCTTAATGAGTTGATAACAGAAGAATGAACTATCTTTTATTACCTTAATTTTTCCCTTAGTACTCAATGGTATGTTTTGCTTTCGCTGGCTCAGGTACAGCAACTGTTGAAAAACACCTTTGATAATACTGTCTAAATTAAAGCCTGGGAGTTCACACATTCCTTTTTTTTTAAAGTCTCGTTGTTTGTGTTCTAGTGGCTGTTGAGGAATTGATACTTTATCAATTTTTGAGAACTTATACTTTTACAAATCAAAGTAAAATAAGCTATATATTTGGCATATGCCGTGAGACGTGTCCTTGGCAGTATGACTAAATATGACTTCTTTGGCATGACTGTCTAAATGGATTAGAATAGTGGAGAGTAGGATAGTTTGATGGACAGATATCCTTATGGTTCCTTTGATGAGGCCTTCTATGCATCAAATGCTGAGTGTCTTTGTAATGTGTGCTATTGGAGCTATGCAAGAAAGTGGTGACAGAAAGCCAATGTGCCTAGATCCAGTCACCATAAAGTTGTTTTGAGAAGGGGGAAACATTTTGGACCATATTTTCCTTTTTTTATCCATGTGTATAATTGAAGTGACCAGAGAGGTAGCCGGCATTCCCCTCAGTAAATGCCTCTATACCTTAGGTTTTTTGTAGCACTCATGTAGGATAGCAACAGAGAGATCTGAGACACAGTCTTTTCCATCTGCAGAGGAATCACACAAGTTATTTCTCTTTGGTTTTCCGTTTCACACGTTATGTCCGTGTTTGATTGTCATGCTGCATAAACCAGTGGTTGAGTTTTGCCTGACGTGTTAAAATCACCAAGTTTTGCCTAGCTTCAATCCAAGACTGTAAAGCAGATCAGGTTCAATCAAAAGGTGATTCTGTCCACTTGAGAAGTTCATGAATTTTTGTCAGAACTAATCTGTTGTTTTTGCATAATGTTACAAAAATCTGGAATGCTCATAATACTTGTGTATCACTTATACTTCTGGTTAAGTTTATGTAAAAGAGCTTGTGATGTTCTCTAAAATTTTCACTGTATTCTAAGTGTATTATTTTGAATACATGAGCTTTTCAATTTTCGTGTAGTAATATAATTAGGATGTCATGTGGATGTTTTAGTGCACTTGTATTTTCATGCATGCTCCTGATATAAGATGATTTTTGTTGTTAAACATTTCATACATAATGAAATGGTACTGATCCTTCCGGTTCAGTATTGGTCTTTGTAGTATATGGGAAAAAAATAAGAGTTAAGATAATTGATGGAAATTCTGTTTTCTTGATTATAGATTACTCCTGAGAAGATTTTGTTTGCTCAGGAGCTATATACAAATGCTGTGGACTTTAATGTTGCTGTTGACTAACTCCCCTACCTTCTTGCTACTTGCCAAACCACTGTACAAACAGAAAAAGTGGTTTATGCTTCTTTGTTTGAAAGCTCTTCTGTAGGTACCTTAGGTTGTTGAGGCCCACAACACTGTACCACAAAGTAAAAAAGGAAATTCCCATTCCTTTCTTCATGATTTCTTTTTACTATTGATTATCCATATAACTTAAATTCAAAGTGCAGAAAATACATTGTTTGTCATTATGATATGCACATATGATGTAAATGATAAGAGATTGGAAATGATACAAAATATTTTCTTTTATATAATATGTCTTATCTGTTTGGTGCTAGATAGCCAGTTAGAAAATATTGTTGTTTCCTCTTCTAGCTTTTACTGAAGTTTTGAAATTAAAAAAAAAAAAAGCTTAAAAAATTAGGAAAAGATACAGAAAAGAATAAATTGGAATTAAATAAGTGGATGTAAAAAAAACCACACAAGCATCAAATTGTGTCAGAAAAAGGGACAGTTAAGAATTCATGGGCTTGTGTATAAAATTAGATTCTGGGTCACTGCAAGTCAAGAGAATTTAGTCTCAATAAAATCATAGATGCAACCGAAATGACAGGACTTGGAGTAAATGGTTTGTAACCCATGTCATCCCATTTTGTTGCCTCGGTGTAAAGGCCAGCAAGGCCTGTATTGTGTGACAATAAAGAGAGAACAAAAGCTAGCCTTTTAGATGTAGAACACCTCCAAGAAAGTACTGCCTGCAAAGTAATGAAGAAAGTTAATTTCTATGAGAAGGTCATTCTGATGATCTCCACCTTTGCTTTACCAGCAGAGTTTTTCTTCATGCAATAAAGCAATGTCTGTAAACTAAAATGAATGGAGTAATATGCAGAAAGTGATATCCTTTTACAAAAGGCTTTGAATGACTTCCAGATGCCACTGCCAATACAAGTCACAATCCAAATGACCCTATAGTTAACGGTAGTAAATTTTCACAGAAAGGTGCCCCGAAGCAAATGGGTATTTCAGCCAATAAATCTGATGTTTTGATCTTTCTGTATCAAGTGCTCCACTTTTGGCACAAGTTCATCTCTAAGGAGCTACACTCCTTTACTGAAAATATTAAAGGAGTTGAAGAAGTAGGAAAAGCAGTGTGGTGTGGTACGGATGATGAGCCAAGCTGGCAATGGCTTGGAAAGCATGGGGAAAACGAGGGTGAGACCTAGTGTATAGGATCTATCTAGATTGTGGGGTTAACTTCATCTGTACTGGATCCAGGTGCAACACTACATGTACTTTTATGCTAAGAAGGATTTCTTTCTTCTGTATAGGCTTCAGCAGAAAGACACATGAATGCCAAATTCAGAATTAATATGATTTATTGCTATAGGGAAGCAGTGTGCTGCAGCATTTGTGTGTAAGATGAATGAGGCAGGGTGCACATCTTCTCTAGCACATGTATTGCTTTTTTGTACAGCTGCACTTGTCCCATCCAAGAAAAGGTTTTCCAGGAGCACGGAAGCACTGCCTCTGTTGAGGCAAGCGTTGTAAAAAGTTAGAGGAAAGTCACTTGGGCTAAACTTACCTCCATACTGGCACAGATTTTTGAAAACTTGTTTGGGCTTACCTACACTTAATAAGAGAGCGCTGGGAAGGTCAAACTCCATTGTGGAAGTCCGGTGGACTGTACGCTGGGCTCCCAGCGTTGCTGGTTTGTTCTGTGTCATTTCGTTAAGCATCATTGCACCTGCTACTAATTGCGTTGTAGGTTATTAATAATGAAAGAGTTTTCAAAATCTAATTTATTTCTCATGTTTCTGTCTGTTCAAACAATGGCTATAGATTAATCAGGTTGCTGAATCAATTTGTGAGCTATTTATTCTCTTAACTTATGAACTGTTTTAAAAATCTTCTTTTCTGTTTAAATGTTCCCTCATTCTGTATTGATCTGTGTGTAGTTAAAAATAACAAAACTGAGTTGTTCATAGGCAGATTCCAGTCGACTTTGTCTTCAGGGTCTCACTTCTTTTTATTTACAAATGTGATAAGTGTTGTGCAGATGTAGAAGACGACATAGTTTGTGCCCTCGAGAAACAGTAGAAACAAAACCATGCAAGCACTTGCGTTTCTGAGATATAGTACAAGAAAAATAAAGTCGGTGATTGGTACATAGCTTGCCACTTCCACATGTGCTTGATTGTTGGATTAAAGATAAAAACGTGTAGTTTTGTGTGGTACTTGCGGACAAGGATTTTTAGGAGTGATCAGGATTACTTGAACGGTTCTCCAGCATGCTGCAGCGTCTGCACTCCAGACCTGGCAGGGCAGTGTTCTTTGTTTAAAACAACTTTAAAATCCCACTCAGGCAGGATTGTTTTATACCTACCACTGTTACTAGTAACGACTAAGAATAATTGAATGTCAGTAAAGGAAGATGCTTTTCTCTATCTATATCCCCCCTGCCCCGCCCTGGTTGTGTTTACTTTCTGCATTTGACAGCAGTTTGTGTCTTCTCAGTTGCAATGTTTTCCCTGTATCATCAGTCAGCCTGTTTCCCTGTTGTTTATGTGGGTATTTCGCACTGCATCAAGAGAAGAAATGTTTAAAAATGGGGAAGTGGGATTTTTATTCCACAAGTGGGGGAGAAGTGAAGTCCAGGGCAAGTGTGGTAACTGTTGCTGCATTTAATTTATTAAAAATGCATTTAATTCATTAAAAAGAAACAAAACAAACTGTAAGTTGACAGTGTCAGTTCTGTAAGCCTGTGAAAATAACTTTACCTGATAATGCTATATGGTAACTGCTAACGACTAAATAATGTTTCACTCTCTTTTAGGATCCAAGTCACACGCAGGTTTCCCAGTATCGCCAGGATCACTCCCTGATCATGAGATCTATTGTCCATATGACTGACGCTGCTCATTCGGGAATTATGCCTCCTTCTCAGCTAACCACCATTAACCAGTCTCAGCTAAGTGCGCAGCTGGGCCTAAATTTAGGAGGCACTAATTTGCCACACACTTCTCCCTCCCCTCCTGCAAGTAAATCAGCCACTCCTTCCCCATCCAGCTCTATAAATGAAGAAGATGCAGATGAATCAAATAGAGTAAGTTATTCCATGCACTGTACTGAGTAAGCTTTACATGTCTATATGCTGTATTTTCATGAACGTGGCAGTATCGTCTCAGCTGCAATGTGGTCATACAAAATACAGATGTTACAGTATAGTGGAATATGATTCATTTGCTGTTTAGCTTCTTTACTTAAGAAATTTCCATAATACCTCCATAGTACTAAACATAAGAATATACATATATGTGTATATATATGTTTTTGGTCTAATACATTCATCATTCATTTCAGATCTGGTGAATCTCTTGACTCATCAACTTCGGACAGTTTTGTCATTTTGGTATTCTCTGGAGTCATATAAAACATAGATGCATTTAGATAGAAATAAAATAAGCTGCTTCTAACTGAAAATTTAGTTAATTTACATTTTGCTTTAAATAAATCTGTTCCAAAAGGAAAACTGTATCAACAAAATAAAGCACAAATGTTATTATAGCAGTGTGTTTAAAGGGTCTAATTTAGACTGTTCCATGAAAGGTTTTCTCATTAAGTTCATGGAAATTGTACATATGGAAAGATCATTGTACAGGTTCCTCAAAATATCAAAGTAAAATGACTATCACAGAGGTATATTTAGAGCCACTTTATCCCCTTGTTGCAATGGTCTGTGCATAGTTCAACCAAAGAGGGTACAGGACACGAGGAGCACACAGGGACCAGAGTTACCCGTAATCCTGGGCGTGCTGCTCTGGGGGTTCCCCATCGCAGAGCCAAGAGGGAGGTGTTGGTGCAGGGCTGGTGCCTGGCCATAACCCAGAGCCTCCAGCACTCCTGCGCAGGCACCTGACCCTGCATGAGGAGCGGTGGAGGCGGATGGCGGATGCAGTGAGTGTTCACTGCAGGTGGGTAGAAGCGGCAGAGTTGCTCTGCTTTTTGCCTGAAGGGTGGGCTTTTTAACCCCTGACCCATGTCTAAGTTGACAGTCTAAATCTGGGAATCAGGAAATGCCTCCAAGCTCTTGTCTTTTGAGTCTCTACAGCTGAAATTACATCTTAATGGAAAAACATAGATTGCCTATTCAAAATATACTACAGATTAAATCTTACATTTTTTTTTTAATACAAATTAGCACCAGGGTGTGCTTTTTCAGGTCAAGCTCGTAGGATATGAGTCTCTGAGCCTTGCTTACAATGACTAGTAACTATTCATGCATTTAGTTCCAGTAGATCTGATGACATTAAGCTGAGACTAAGTACTATTTGGTAGGAGAAAGGCTTGCAGAACAGGACTCTCCAAAATGTTGCCTAAATAGTAGCTTTATCCATATATTGTTAAGCCAGGCTGTCAGTAATCTTTCAGAATTAATCTGAATTATTTCATGCATATATTGACTATTCTTGTTACTACTGTTTCTTAGGCCGCTGGAGAAAAAAGAGCTGCCCCGGATTCTGGCAAGAAGCCCAAGACTCCAAAGAAGAAGAAAAAGAAAGATCCCAATGAGCCACAAAAGCCAGTGTCAGCATATGCCCTTTTCTTCAGGGATACACAAGCCGCAATTAAAGGGCAGAACCCGAATGCTACATTTGGAGAGGTTTCAAAAATAGTGGCATCTATGTGGGACAGTTTAGGAGAAGAACAAAAACAGGTAAAAAAATTGATGCAGGGTTGTCTCACAAGAAGGAAAATAGTAATCCTTGTAAAAAAAGCCTCCTATCTCTGCTCTGAGTGGACCATGCTACTTGCTGATGTAGACCTCTTACTCTGTAGAGTTCAGGAGCTACACTGATTTTTGAACTTGCTGAAGACCTGGTGTCTAAAAAGTATTTTCTTGTAAGAGCCAGTAGGTATTATTAAATGGCTGTATTTGTCTTTAAATTTTAAAGGGCAGTTTGTAAAAAAGCTCAGCTGATACTGTCCTAGAGTCCTGTTAAGACCATCTTTTGATGATTCCTATTTCAAAGCTCTTGTTTCCTATTAATCAGAAGTTAGAAGAGAAAAGGGGAAGGTACAGCACATTTACCATTTTCCTTTGATCTGCCTTATGAATTTGTTACAAAGCGTGTTGATTTCCAACCTTTGAAGCCAATCCTCTGTGCCTCATTACAATGTCGTGTGTGAAATGTTATCTCCAACTCAAACTTGGTACAGAATGATGAGTTTTGTTCTTCCTTGAGGGTTATTCTTCTTTTTGTACACATGTAACTCCTACACATGGATTGAAGGAAAAAAAAAAAAAATCCTTTGAGGCTGCTTGCATTTGGATACTCTGTGTAGCTCCTGGTAACAGTTAATGGAAGCTGTGATGGAAGAGTAGATTCCCATATAGGACACCTTCTGGCAAGATATGAATGATACTTGTTTGTGAAATACATTGGAAACTTTTAGTCTGATCTAACAGATGATGGTGAACATGATTTAAAGGTGAACTTTAAATTTACTGATGATTAAAAATACAGATTACTTCATTTTTGTTTAACTGTTCTTGTTTAACTCAATGGGATTGTCTCATACTGGCTTTGGGGAAAGTGAATTGTCCAAGCTCTATAAACCAACTTTTCTAAAGGTATAAAGATTTTTTTTTTATATGTAGTTCAAATATTTGTTTAAAAAAAAATTGCATAGGCATTTTTTGCTATTTTATACTACTGCAGATAATTTTTAGCATCTGAAATACTCAGTGTTCTAATATCCCTGTTACTTAGAGTCATTAAAATACCATTTCCTGGCGAGGTGAAGTGTGCATAGGTAGTCTTGTCAAACAGTTGGCTGCTCTAGCAGCTTTTTTTATTCATGATAAATCAACATAAATTGTGGTGCAAGTCCAGCGAGTAGACCTGAAAGTCTGTAACCACCTGCAAGAATATTTAGATCTTTCCAGTGGCCTAAGAAACAGTAGTAACAAGCACATGTAACAGCAGACTGTTTTCAGGTTTTTTGGTCTGTGGTTTTTGTTTCTTTGCAAGTGATTTTGAGAGCATTCTGGCAAAAATGTCTTAATACTGAAGTTGGTGAAATTGTGGTCTCTTTTGATAGGTATATAAAAGAAAAACCGAAGCTGCCAAAAAAGAATACCTAAAGGCACTTGCTGCCTATAGAGCAAGCCTTGTTTCTAAGGTAAGCCTAATAATGCCTTCAAAGTAACGCAAGTTAGCTTTTGGCAATGGTGTTTAAATATTGGAGGGGGTGTGCAAAATGGAAGTAGAATCCTAGAATTTCTGTAATACAGCTCTACAAGATGTTGTGCTGCTGCTCGAACCCTGCTTAGACTCTGCAAAAGAAATTTCATCTCTCTAATTGCACAGTAATGATTACCAAACAATAACTTTGGAAATGTACATCTTCCTTTATCTATAGAGGGAAAATAATGCACTTCACTACCAAAAGTAAAATTCAGTCATGAAAAATATACTGACCTTTTGACATTAACATTTGCAAGCTATTTGCAGAGTTTTGTTTTTCCTCAAGTGCTACTTCTCAAAACACAGACTTGTTTTCCGTGGAGCTGGAGAGCAGTTATTGTATGACAAAGCTTAAGTATTTCTTGCAGGTGAGGGGAAAAAAATGCATGGTGGCTCTGAATTTGGAGAGTACTTACAAATCGGATAGCTGGCAGTGAGCCACGTGGAGTATTTTAGCGGATCCTGAGTTAAAATAAAACTTGTGAAGACAAAGCTCTGCGTTCTTGTTTGAGAATTTACCTTTTTAACCAGCAGCACTACACTGGTTGTAGATCTGTTGCATCTGAATACTATAAATGGAAATATGCTTATGGCCATCTAAAATATAGGTAAAAATTAATCAAGGTGGTTATTTCTCCAATAGTGTTTCGTAAAGATCAGCTACAAAAATATCTTTGATCACAAGAAAGCAACAGAAGAAACTGGTAATATCTAACTCCTGAGAATACTTATTTGAATGGACAACTGCAGAGCATTAGTAAATCACACAGAACGTTGCTGTGTATTTTAATTAATGCTGAGAAATACAACAGCAGAAATTAGACACATGTTCTTGAAAGTTGGAAGATTTCTGCTCCTTGTGTTGAGAAGCTGTGTTTTTCTGTTGCCTCTAGGACTTAGGTAATATTCTCAAAGCCTCTAGTATCACAATGCTAAGTTCAATGGCAGCTGGAATTGTAAATATCTTTGAGGGAATTTATTTTGTCAGTCCTAAGTTCCCTTTTCAAAACCATCAGAAATCATATTTTCTCCCCAAATCCATGGGACCTGGGCTGCCAAGTAACTTGTGGGAAGACTGTGAGTGGAAGTTATACTCTAAGTCCAGAATTCATCTTCCTTAACTTAAGACATCCTTGCTGTAGCTTTTTCATCTGAGGTTGCTGCTGAGAGTAGGGATGGAATAGACACTTCTGCAGCATAATTTGACATATTCTACAGTAAATGTCTAAAACATGTCAGTTAATTGTGCTGGCAGAGACTTTTTCTCTCCATTGTCTTTATATAGGGATTCTAGGCAACTATTTTGCATGTCGTGTACAATGCAAATGTGTAAAACTGAGAGACGAATCCTGCCTTTGGTGCAAATATACCTAATAAAACTATGCCTTCAAAGGCACCAGCATGCCTCATTTATTGCAAGAAGCCTGTCTGGACTGTAGTTTTCCCGCAGGTGAGTCTCATCAGAAACCTGCAGGACACTGGAATTAGGCAGGATTCCCTAAGCAGGGCACCCTGCTGATGCAGCTGTACTGCTTCCAGAGTATTCAGTTGGGTGCCTTGACAGTGTTCCCTTAGACTTTTGTCTGTTGTAGATACCTGGGACTTGATGCCTTAGATGCAAAGAACTGCAACAAGCAAATTAAAAAAGTTGTTTGAGAAGTTTCGTTGTTTGTACACTACTTTTATTGCATGGTAACTGGTGCAGGGGGATATGCTTCTGCTCAGATTTGTCTCCCAAAGAACAGGGGTTTTTTTGAAAGCATATAAATAGAGAAAGTGTGTTAGGCCCTTTTTAGCTCTTTCAGCGACACAATGTACGTGACATCTGTGACTTTCTGGTGTTGAACAAGGGCACGAGTTAGTTTTTTGCCCAAGTAAGAACTGGAGGTACCGTATACAGAGACAGACGAAGAGGTGATGTAATGGATCTGTGGATCAGTGATCTTTTTCAGCTTGCCAATTGATCTTTTCTGATAGAAAACGACATATGAAAAAGTCTCCCTGAGTAGCTGTGACTTTTATTTCCATGTAAACAGTAACAATGTTTTTTTCTGTCAAAAAGGTGATTAATTTCTTTTCCAAACACAGGCTGCTGCAGAATCTGCTGAAGCCCAGACAATTCGTTCTGTTCAGCAAACACTGGCATCCACAAATTTGTCTTCCTCCCTTATTCTGAATACTTCTCTTTCTCAACACGCAACGGTATCGGCATCTCCTCAAACTCTTCAACAGTCCCTTCCCAGAGCAATTGCTCCAAAACCTTTAACCATGAGACTGCCAATGAATCAGATTGTAGCTTCTGTTACCATTGCACCAAACATGCCAACAAACATTCCGGCTCCCTTGATAAGCTCTATGGGAACAAATATGGTGGCAACGCCATCTTCATCTCAAGTAAGTCCCTCAATGCAAAGCCAGCAGCACCAGATGCAGCAGCTCCAGCAGCAACAGATGCAGCAGATGCAACAGCAGCAACTACATCAGCATCAAATGCATCAGCAAATACAACAACAAATGCAACAACAGCATTTTCAGCACCACATGCAACAACATTTGCAGCAGCAGCAGCAGCATCTTCAGCAGCAAATTAATCAACAGCAAATGCAACAGCAACTGCAGCACATACAGCTTCAGCAAATGCAGCAGCAACAAATGCAGCATATGCAACACCAGTCACAGCCTTCTCCTCAGCAGCATTCTCCGGTAGCCTCTCAGATCACTTCTCCCATCCCTACCATTGGGAGCCCTCAGCCAGCACCTCAGCAGCACCAGTCACAAATACAATCTCAGACACAGACTCAAGTATTATCACAGGTCAGTATTTTCTGAAGATAAATGATCTTGCAACATGGCTTTGTGTTGATGGAGGGGGTAAGGGTAAACCATATTTGGCTGAAAACTGTAAATTGTTGATAGTAGTTATGCAGGGATGCATAACAGATCAAATGATCCTCTAAAGTGTCTATTAGATAGGCAATAAAGAACTACAATGTAGCTGTGTATCATCTTTTAGCTGACTATAAATCATTTTGGTTAAAAAAAAAAAAAAAAAAAGCTGTGCTCTTTTTCATGTGATGCCTTTTTAATTTATTTAAGCTTTACCTACAATATGTGAATCAAATGGCCTAATAAATACCTGGACCTTATGACTGCAAAATGGCCTTTCAGAGTTATATGACATAACCCTTCTTTCTCTAAAAGTGAATAATGCACTTCAAGGCAGTATGAACTCATGAAGCCCTTAAAGCACAGTTGTAACTACCTGTAAAATGATGATTGGATTTCATACAATCATACTTGTATGACATGAGTTAGTTGATGGCATTTTTTGTCATGGAAAAAATAGAGTAAATCACAGATTTTTGCCAAAGCTCTTAATTTTTTTTTTTCTCCTAAATGTCTTCAGAAAAACAAATGCAAGTAGCTGAACTTAAATGTTTGACCCAACCTTTCTCTTCATTTCTCCAAATAAACCTACCATAGTTTGTAAGAAAATATATATTGACATTTATCCTCTTACGTTAATTCCAGTTACAGAACAAATGTGAATATTATATTCTGTGTCGAAGTGATGAGTTTCAGATTTAATACACTGTATTTTTAAAAAGGGAAATGCACTTAAATAAAACTGTTATTACAGAAAGCTAAGATGAAAAATGCAAGAGTTTTTAATACGCTGTAAAACCGGTAGAATATTTAAACGGAACTCCACAATCGAATAATCAATGTAAATATTTTCTTTAAAAGTTGTAAGTTTTCATATCATGTGTTGTAAAGTTTTCATAAATGAGGCTTTAATGTAAACACTGGTAACATGAATTATTAATTGCTACATTGCTTATTGTGTTTTTATGCTGTTTTATACTTTTTTATGAGTTATGATAGCAGCAATTAAGTTGTTTGTATTTTGCTTATCTAAAATAAATGCTTTTATCTTGCTATAGAATAAACACATTTCAGTAAAACCGATGGGCATAAGTCTTTGATACAAAACCCAGAAATGTTTCCTTATGAAAACACTTTCTTGGAAAATTTATTTAACTTTTTGGATTTTTATTTTATCAAACATACTGGGTAAATAGCTACCGATCGGAACAGAGTGTGCGATCAGCTCTTGCATCCATAAAGACGCGCTGCTGAAGAGTCATACACAACTTCTCTGAGGTTTCTACGCCTTACTTCAGAGAGAGAAAGCAGGTGGTAGAGTTACAAAGCATTTGTGGTACCCTGTGTTACATTTATCCGCAGGAACAGGACAGCGAACCTGTCTCTCAGCAGTAGTGTTCAGAGATGCAAATAAGCACAAATTGTGGTGTTCTTTGTATCTCTGAGTTTCAGATGCAAACGCAGCTACTGCCGTGGGCTTCCCATCTATAAGCCCCTAACTCTGACTGATCCTGAGTTGTCTGATATATTTTATCATAAAAGTAGGACGTGACAGAGGAGGGGTGGAGAGGGCAGGTATTTCCTATGAAGGATGTGGAAACATTCACATGCAATGCGTTGTCAGGTTATTAGTGCTGTTTATACATTTTTACTCTCGACAGAGGAGAAATCCTTTATTTTCTTCTTCCCCTTCTTTGTCTGCAATAGCTGTACTGCGAGTGCAGTCTGACCACTATCCCCAGTTGTCTTGCATGATTAATTACAGCATCTGTCCTGTCAGAAGCTATAATGAAGAGGTCTTGATAAAAATTGCAAATTACCACTGGCAACAATCTTAAACTGCTTATGATAAAATGAAAATTAAAACCAGCAAGTGTCAAACCTGAGCAGAATCCTAATCCTGTTTGAGGCGGTGTCCATGGCTACCACGCACAGGCCACAACCAAAAAATAATGGAATATAGATCCCCAAAAAGTTGCAGCCAGACTTGAGGGAAGAGGTACTATACTGTGTGAGTTTATTAATAATGAATTCAGCTTTCAATATTTCATCATCCTCAGGTACTCTGTTTATTATGTAGAAATATTGAACAGCAAGAGATTCTAATTATAAATTTATAGATTTCTTGGAGCAGAAAAAATCATGTATAAATTGAAGCTTTTCATAATAGGCGTTAGTTGACAGCTACCCATGCTCATAATAGCCTTAGTATGATATCTAATAATGTCTGGGATGGCGGATGTTTATTCCAAGTGCGAGGAAGCCTGCCTGCATTAGAAATGGCACGGCAGAGGCTGCTTGGGAGAGATTTTTGTGTGTGTCGGTTTTAACCAATGTTACATAACAAAGGGAACCATTTTATAGTCGTTTTGAAACCTTTAGACAAATGTCTTCAGAAATAATTGCTAAACTGCATGTGACAGTAATTGCGTATTAGTTCTATAATTGTCATTTTGAAGACCTATGAAGTATCGTTGGAAAAATGTCACTAGCGATAAGAGTTAATTACAACTGAAGTCTGTTTTCAACTATTTGCATCGAGAAGCAGGTGTTATTACACTCATTAAATGATTTCATAAATCCTAGGTTTTATCACATTTGATTAAGAGCTGCTGAACTACTGATGGTCAATTCCGGGAAAAATAATTTTAATTACTGCAGCTAAAAAAAATTAATCATCAAGCAGGACGGTACATTTTAAATATCAAAATCTGAATCTTGAAAAAGTAGAGCATCCCTCTGCTTGCTACAAAATTATATTTTACATTACCCACAATAGCATATTGCAGAACATCTTGTGTTTCAAACTGTGCAAGTTGGTGTTCATATTCCCAAAGTCTAAGTGAGTAACTTTGCTATCATAGGTCATAAATAAAACTGTTAATTTAAATCACTTCATATGCAGTTTGTACCGGAAAAATGCAGTATCCGTATGATTTCAGTGTCATGCACAGTTTAAAGAATGTTTTGCTTCATATCATTTACAAGCACTTAACTGCTCCCTTCTTTTCCCAAGGTTTCAGATGCTTTATCACCCCGGTTAACCACATTCTACTTTCACATTAACCCAGGTTGACACATGATGAAAGAACATAAGGAGGTTTAATTTTTAGCTGACACAGGGTCATTAGTTTCTAACTTGGAGAACAAAGGCTTTAAATACCTCTATGCAACGTAATCTCAATTTTATATTATCACCTGACCATTGTGGTTTGCAGGACAGATGGATTAAATATCTCAAGTTTAACCAGAAGTCTTGCACTGACTCTTTTCAATGGGGATTGGCTATGTGAATGGCTCCTTTTCCATTTCGCACTTCATGGAGTATTTTGCAGCACTGGACTTCATTCTAACCTTTCCCTCCCCCCTTTGTTTGGCTTTTGTTTTGCAACAGCTGTTATTATCGTTTTTGGTCAGCTGTGATTGCTAGAGGCAAAATAGGACCAGATGGTGTTTTGCTATGCATGAATGGCGAGTTAGAGGAGTTTAGATTGAATAGGCCAAGTTTGAATGGTGTCTATGCACCACCTGCCCTCTTCAGCAGCAGCATACACATCACAGGAGCATGATCTGTCTCAGACCTACTAGAATTGGATGGGAATGGAGAGAGCCTCGTTGGATTTTCTCCATATTTATTGATCTTCCATGCACTAACAGCATAATGCAGTACACAGTCAATTTGAGTTAATTGGATATGACACAGCATGTACATGTAATCTATCACTGTAGTCTCCTGGTACACTTTAGGTTTTGCTGCCACAAGAACGTGCAGTATTAGCCTGCATTAATAGGCTAAGTGGATGGAAGTAAAACAGGATCATTGTAGGGCTTGGTTTAACAAAATATACCGTAGTTTTAAAACGATACCCTCGAAACTGCCAGAGATGCAGTTAAATATGAACATTTCAGATTTGATAGACTGGACTGAGTATTTTGGCACAGAACAAAATATACCTCATTCCCATACTTTTCTGAGAGGTTTGCCCGTGAAACTGAAATGAACAGTTGACTAAAAGTAGGGAGCAGCGTCAGTAGCGATGAGCCGGTGGCGTTCAGAAAGGGGCCTGTGTTTATGTGGAGGAATCTACTTTGTAGCAGAAGGGATATTACATTAAGCAAATTCTGATTACCAGCCCCTAAAACAGAAATTAAAATGAGGCATCCAAATTGGGTTTAGAGTAGCAAAGGGCTGCTTTGTTATCCTAAAACTGGGCATAGAGGTAGAATTTAAATGTTACAGAAATTGAAGATCTGTTGTATCCTCCGTTAAGGTTGACTGAAAGACATTGGGTATGCAAGAGTTGTGTCTGGACATCATGGAATAAAATGCATATGTTACAAATAATGCATAAAATATATAACAATAGCATATAATGCATAAATTACTTGAATTGTTACAGCAATTGGATGTTTAAAAGCCTACTTACGCATGTAACGGGGGGGGTTGTGATCATGCTCTGCCTAAGTTGGCAGGAGCTGCTCACTCGGAGTCTTTGTCTGTGGTGTCAGGTAGCCGAGTGAGCTACTTTATTATGAAAATTGCATTCAACTGAAAAAATGCTAAATATTTTCAAGTGCCTGTGGGAAAAGCTAGGTTTGTATTAAAGGATTTGGTTCTTAAAGTCACCAAGAAGTTAATGCTTCTCAGGTGCATCTGAGGGAGAGAATTTTCGATTATAATACTAAAGTCTTTCAGGAGAGGATGTATTGCTTTGAATGAGCTGTTCTGACACTTCAATAGGCTACGCTGGAGATTTATAATGTACTCTGTTTACCTCAGTTAAAAAGTAGAAGTGGTGTTTTAAATAGTGGGTTTTGTCCAAGTTCTTGGACCATTACCATCTTCAGCCCCTCCACGAACCAAAGTAGTGCAGAGTTTTCTTACAAGGTTTGAAATGAAATTTATTTTAATCTTCTAGGTAAAAAAGTTGAACGGGTAATTATACTTGATGTGGTGTAGTTATATGGGTGCTTCCTACAGGTATCATTTATTCTCCTTCCCCTGTGGGAATATCTTTATTGATACAGCCACCTTTGGTCTGTTAATTTCTCCAAACTGGAGTTGTTACATTACTTTAACTCTGCTGCTCTAATTGAAACAGAAAGGCTTTGATCCAGCGAATCACTTAAAATGAGTGGATAATTCATGTATATAAGTAGTAATTTCATTAAAGTGACTACTCATATGCTCCGTTATGCAGTTGCTCAAGTGCTTTCACAAATCAGGGGTCTAATTGCAAAACATTGTATTTGTTTTCCAAACAATTCCAAGTAGTAGTAATAAGAATAATCGGAACCTAAAAGTAGCGTAACCTAACTTACATTTTCTGCATTTTCTTTTATTAAATTCTATTCTAAAGAAGTCATAGGTCTGATTTTCAAGTACAGGTATCTAACCTTTGTGCTGGTTCAGTGACTGTACATCATCATAAATGTGTAAAGAATTAACCACCTGACTGGTGATTGGTATACTCAGTCATTTAGATGGGTTTCTGCTGTGCACAGGTCTGAAAATCTGTACCTGGATCAGCAGTCACAGCTCTTGACTGAGCAGATGCCTTGACCAAATATTTGTATTTACAAAACAGAGAGTCAATGCAGGCAAACAAAGCACCATTATACCTACTGGCAATATTTGTGAAACCTAAAGGGTATACTTACTGCAGGCTAGTTTATTTTTAATGCTATATCCCATAGTGTACTGATAACAAACATATATGTTGCATTAACATAAAGTACATAAATAATACATCCCATGTATTAGACTTTTCTCACTGGTGGTTATAGGTGCTTAGTTTTGGAATTGGTTTTGGTGTTCCATGAATCATGAGAATTGACCATACAGCATGGATATTTAAAAAATAAGTAGCTGTACCACTGCTTAATTTCTTTCCTGTTCCTAATATTGGAAGTGCGGAAAATCACAGGTCACTTTTGAAAATTATTTTGCATCAGCTCTTGATCAGGGGATTCTCACTGCTGCACCTATGTATGTACGTATGTGTGTATATGTAAGTGTAAACTGGTAGTAGCGAGCAATCCATGTATGTGCTCCAGCCTTACACGAAA